GTGGTAGAACTGGGGCTTGAATCCAGGTCTGTTTCCAAAGCCCCCCAACCTACCTGCTGCACCACACTGCCTCATGAAGTGTCTCGAGTGCAGGATGCTGCAGGATGATGATTGGCCAGAAGGCAGAAGATTCCTTGAGTAGAAGGGATTTGTTTTTCTCCAGAACGCCTTAGAGTATTTCCTGAAATGGCCTGCCTAGATCTCAGTATCTATTTTGACATCGACTGACTAACATTTCTCTCTCTCTTCTTCTCTCCCTGCCTCCCTCCCTCCTTCCTTCTTTCTTCCTCTTTAATTAATATGAATACTTCTTAAAATATCCAGCTCCATTCTTTCCATAATAAGCTAGAAAAATGGGAGGATTTGGGTTAGAGGTAGATTCATCCTCTAGAATAGTGAGGTCTGAAGGATGCGGACGGAAAGACATTAATGTTGTTTGAAAATGGAACACTCCCCTCAACTGCTTCAAGGTAGATAATGTCCCAGAGCTGTCAAGAGCTCACTTAAGATGTCCTTGACTTTAGGCAGTTTTACGATCTATCTCTCAAGGTTTGCTTCTTTCCTGGACGCTTATCAGAGCATTCTTATACACAATGAGCTCTTCAGTCATCCTCATGAGCATTTATTTCATGTGACACTTTTTGTATGTTTAGATGTATTGTGTACATGTCTCACTAGATCAGGAATTTATTAAGATTACAGATTTAATCTGAGGTCTTTGCTTCTCAATACTTTCAGAATAATATACAAGATAGGACTCAATAAATACATACTGACCACGTGCATTTGACTTTGGGATGAAGAGAAAAAACAAATGCAAACTGTTGTTGTTTGAAACTTACAAGTACATTTCAGTTGTCTCAAACAATATCAAGACAGTTTCAGTAGACAGTCTTTACTATATTACATTAAGCTTGGTTTTTAATATTTATAATAAATTAGCATGTTCTACCATACTATAAAAATTTATTAATGGTTAGCTTTTCACCAGGAGCAATGATCTAAAAGAATCACTTTTTAAAGTTCACTGTTTAATTCCTTTACTCTTTATATTATTTCTTTCCTTGTTCTTCAGAAGTTTGAGATAGCAGCCTATGGGGAAAAATGGCATCAAGTTTACAGGCGCAGCAAAATAAAATTAGAAATCCTTATTAAAGTGTGTATGAGGAGGAATATGGAATATGATACATTGCGTTGGGGGGTGCAGGTCAAAGAAGTGAAGAAGAGTAATATCTCTGAGGATAAAAAATAACTGGTAAAGCTGTTGCAGTATTTTTTCGATGCCTTTAAAAAATGGGTTGGTAGTAACTTGTGTTTAGTTTTTGTATTGTAATAATACAAACTTGTATATATAGTGATTTATGCACTTAGAAACTTACATGATTATTTTCTCCAAGAAAGCTAAAGGACTGTACTATTAAGTAATTTATTCATGACTACATTGATAGTAATTAAGTAAACCAGGCTGTAATCTATCTTTTGATATTAAGTCCGTGGTCTTTAAACTCCATGTATATAATTTAAAAAAATAATTGTATTAACCCTCTCTGTGAGAAATATCTAATTTCCAGTTAATTTCCTTTGTTCAAATGTGCTTATTATATTCTAAACCTGAACTCTGAACAGCCTCAATTTGTCCTGTACCTTAAGTAAAGTTTTATATAATCTTAGTTTTTATGGGGTTCTTGCAGAGCATATTTTAATTCAATTTAATTTAATTTAACTTATTATTACCCTACAGTGGCTTCTTTTTAAAAAATATTTTTCTTTTCTTTTACAACAATAATGGATTTTTAGTAAGAAAATAAATAGCATTTGTTGATGCTTGTTAAGCACCAAACATCTCCCTGAATGATTTTGTAGACATTGTTTAATTTATTAATACAGTTCAAAAAAGACCTCTCAATTCAACATTCACTCAACAAATTTATTCATAAATGACTACCATACAACAGATAATTGTGCTGTGATTTGGGGATACAAAGAGAAATAAAATGTATTTGCCGATGATACAGGGTTCTTTCTAGTCAGAAGGAGAAGAGAGACAAGGCAGATAAGGATACAAATATTGCAGCTGCTATGATAAAAGTATATAAGTTAATTTTTAATTGATTAAATGGTGCGACTTGCACTTTTAGGTGCTAAGGAAATGCCACTGGAACAGACAGAAACCTCTTCTCTCATAGAGTCGATATTCTAGCGGGGATCCTAAGGAGCATGAAAGATCAATCATTTGGGGTCACAAAAGCTTAAGTAGGAAAGGTAACATTTCTTTCTGGTATTATTTAAAAGAACAAGCAAGCTCTAATTGACACAGAAATGGCTACTAGAAATCCTTGGAGCATGATTTATATATGAAAATGATTGAATGAACATTGAAAATAGAACTACTTTTCAATGTGTAACCTCGTACCCTTGAAGTAATCCATTTAGGGTATTGTGAGTGGCTGGTTTCCACTCTCAGGGTCCTTTCTGGAACCAGCCGATTCCTAAAGCTGTCAGTTGTCTGCATCTGTACAACCGTCATAGATAAATTCATTTAAAGCCAAATAAGGTAGAATGGTACAATTCGTCTCACTTGATTCAGTAGTGATGTGTTCAATTCTGTGGCGTACGTTCGATCAGAACAGATTTTTCTTTCTTCAGTGGAAGACTCTCAAGGATGTCGAACTTGTTCTTATTGTTGTACAGACTTTCTAGCATAATCTAAAGGTGCCATAGCCATCTTATTCTTGCCTTGTGCAGAGATATTCCCTTGAAGTTATCTATACATTAACTTTGGTGAACCATCAAAATTTAGGTCAAACTATTTTCATAAAATGGCATTGAGTAAGTTCTTCAGGGGCAAGATTTTCTAAGTGGCCTAAAATACCCATTCTTACAACCTCATTTTGTTGTAAAATCAAACAAAATAATTAAAGAATGTGAAATGCACTTTGAAAACATCAAATGCCAAAATCTTTTGAACGCCTGCAGTTGATTTTATTTTTATTGTTAATTTCAGTGAACAGGGAGCTAGATATTAGCTTCGAGAATTATTTCTCCTTCAACAATGTTTTCAAACTAGATTTTGGGATATTAAAATTTAGCAAAAATGACTGTGTTCTCTAAGAAGATTTCATGTAAGTCTACCTGTGAATCTCTTTGTAGCCCTTATAAAACTACTTATCTCTTTACATACCATTATTTATCAGATTTTTTTTCTAAACATACTTTATTGAACCTACTTTGCTTATTTAGTAAACAATTATTGAATGTCAACATTGTGCTGGGCACTAAAGAATTTTACATGTAAAACAGTTTCCGTCAAAGGAAGGTGAGAATCAAAAATACCATTATATTAGAGATTGGTAATTCTTTAACAGACATATTTAATGTTATCAGTTATACATCTAATTTAGTTTTTTTTTTCCCTCAGCATATCATCTCTCTGTAATCTTTCTTAAATATGTATAGAATAATCTGAGTAGCATATTAAAATGAAGATTCTTGGCTCTGACTCCAGAAAGAATCAATAGTTCTCAGAATCTGCATTTTCATAAGGACCGAGCATTATGGGAACTGGTAACCTTGGACTTTACTCAGAGAGAGTCCTTTTGTGATAGTTCCCTTTTGCCTAGGACTTCTCCTGTTGGAGGCCTCAGAAGGCCTACGTTCATTACACCATCTGCCGGTCTCAATGTTATCCAAAACTGCCAATTTAGATTATCCAGCACTACCTTCCTTCATTACCTTGACTTGAAGCGATCCTCTGTAGTGGTGTGCCGGCGTTCTTGAAGTCAGTTGTGTTTAGTCTTCTGAGAAGGATACCAGTAACTGTTGTCTCACTTAAAGGCTGATTCTAACGGTGAGGTATCTGGAAGAAGATGATGAGGGAATACACCTCTCATGATATGATAAGAGAATTATTTTAAAGAAGGTCTTGAATAACGTCAGCTGAGAACCAGTTACCTGTAGGGAAAACTGAACAAGTATTAATCATTTAATCCTCCTAACAAGCGTATGAAGCAGGTACTGTTATTACATTCATTTTACAGATGAGGACAGTGAAGCTCAAAAACTTCACCAATATCACACAGATTTTCAGTGGTAGAGCAGGGATTTAAACTGAAGTGGGCTGGCTCCAGAATTCAGTGGACCACTATACGAGTGTTGCCTTTCTCTTAGTCAAAGGAATGTCCTGTGGAACCTTTGCTGTCCCCGTTCCTTTCAGAATGACTTTTGGTAAAGTACACTAACAATTGGAAAAGAAACACAAATACAAATCTCTAAAGTAAAACAAAACAAGGCAAACACTACATAAAATAGGTTTGGGTGTATTTTTAGGTCAAAGATGTATTTCAACCTCACATTACAGGACATTTCTAGTAACAAAAAATGAACCCAAAGGACACATGACAACATATAGTAACATATCGCAGGTTTTCAAGAGAAAAGATAACAACTCAATTTTTATTTTCTTCCCTGAAATACAGTTTACTCTCTGGTGAACATAGTTTTTTGAGTCAGAAAGATCAAACTTCTAATTCTGCCTTGTTGTTTACTTGTTTGAGAACCTATGACAATTTGCTGACCTTACTTAATTCTCAGATTCTCTGAAATGTACGTGACAAACAAGGTTTTGTCAATATTGAAGACATAGTGCCTGGAATGTAGCGATCCTTCAACAATCAGAACTACCTGTTTATTGTTGTTATTATTATGAGCAGTGATAAACTTAATTTAGTAGAATAAAAACAATTTTAGACACAATGCTTTGGTAACAATAAATATATTCTCAAATTTTACTTGGTGCTGAACCTTTTTCTTGGACAGGTAAGATTCAAATACATATAGTCTTGCTTTTGTCAAGTGACAGAAAGAAGAGAACTATCAATGACAATTTCCTCTTCCTTCTTCAGTGGTCTGTCTGGTTTATAACTTGAAGTCCTGATTATAAAATGCTTCCTTTGCTCCCTTGAGAATGTCTCTTCTGAGATAGGCTAATTTATCTTCACCAGGTGATCAACCCAACAGTCATCAGCTGTTAGCCATGGCGTCACGCCTGCGGGAGAGTGCTGAACTTTTTCAGTCTGATGAGATGCGACCTGCTAATGATCCCAAGGAGAGAGCACCCATCCGCATCCGGATGCTGAATGACATTCTTCAAGACATGGAGAAAAGCTTTCTGGTGCAGCAGGTGCCACCAGGTTTTTATAGGTAGGATGCATGTCTAAAAAAAGTATACGTTTTTACCCTAAATTAAATGTTTATGTGTAACTTTCAGAATATGTACCTTCTATGAACATAACAGTATTTAAAAAGAAACTATAAAGCAGATACTCATATAAGGAGCTTCACCCTCCCCCGAAGAAAAGTTAAACTGCCTATATATAGAATAATGGAAACTTGGCTTAGCAGTAGCATAGAGAATATGACTAAGAATTTTCTTACATCAATTTCAATATGAATCTAATTTTATATGGTTAATGAAAAAGCAAATGGAATTATAATTTGCACTGAAAGAAATATACTTTCTTGACTACATCAGGAGATACACCCATACCATATTGTCCTATGATGATCCCATCTAGATTAATGTGTTTAATTCTAGAAACTACATTTTATGTTGGAATTCAATAAATTTAATATTTAGGGGAAAGTGGGATCTAGATGGTTGCTGAAACAACTGAGGAATTAGGCTTATTTGATTGGAAAGTTACATGTAGTACTTTCTGAAAACATCTTAACAACTATATGGAAGGGGGATTAGATACAGACTCAGAGGATAATATGAGTACAGTATGGTTTTGTTTTTTAAGTTCCTTATATAGTAGAGGGTAAATAAAGAAAGATGAAATTTAAAAGATTATGGTACCCATCAGTCATCAGAAAAAATACAAATTAAAGCCATAATGAGAAACCATCTCACATCAGTCAGAATGGCTATTATTTTTATTTATTTGTTCATTTATTATTATTTTTTTCTGAAAATCTATGTCTTTTATTCAATGATGGCAATATCCAATTTTGGGTTTTTTTTTCTTCCTATATCTTTTTTTAAAATTTATTTATTTTACTTTAGGTGCATACTATATCTGGCATTTCTCCACATGTTATCCCTCCCCACTCTCCCTTCCCTCCCCATCCCCTGCTATCTCTCCCCTACCCCCCACAATTGCCCCAGTGTGTGATGCTCCTCTTCTACTATAAAGACACATGCGCACATATTTATTTATTTTTATATTTTAAATTCTGCGGTCCATGTGCAGAATGTGCAGGTTTGTTACATAGGTATACACGTGCGAATGGCTATTATAAGAAAGTCAAAAAATAAGAGATGGCAAGAATGCACAGAAAAATGCTTATACACTATTTGTACAAATGTAAATTAGTATAGCCTTTCTATGTACTTGGAAAACAGTATGGAAATTCCCAAACGACTAAAAATAGAATTACCATTTGACTCAGAAAGTTAGTTACTGGGTACTTCCCCAAATGAAAACAATTTTTTATATCAAAAAGATATTTGCATTCATGTTTATCATGGTACTATTCACAATGGCAAAGTCATAGAATCAACATGAGTGTCCATCAACATATGACTGGATTAAAAATATGGTACATGTACTCTATTCTCAGTATTCTATACTAAGCAGTCATCAAAAGGAATTAAAGCATGTCCTTCTTGGAAACAGGAATAGAGCTGGAGGTCATGACCCTAAGTGAAATAATTCAGAAACAGAAAATCAGATACCACATGTGCTCACATATAATTAGGAGATAAATGATAGATGCACATGGACATATAGAGAGAAATAGACACTGGGACTGCAAAAGAGGGAGAGTTGAAAAGTTACACTGTTTACTATTTGGGTGATGGGTACACTAAAAGCCCAAACTTCACCATTGCATAATATATTCATCTAACAAACCTGCACATATACCTCCTAAATCTCTAAAAATTTGAGAAAAAGGTTATGACATATTTAAACAGTTTTTATTTAACTTATAATTCTATGAGACACAACATATAAATACATACCTTTCTGTTTAATATATACATATATAATGTGTGCATTTATATGACATAATACATGTATGTGTGTGTATATATAGTATACATATATATATTTACGTATATATATTTCATGTGTGTGTGTGTGTGTGTGTGTATGTATAGTTTTATGTAGTGTGAAAGTCTAAATTTGTGACCCTCTAAGAATGAACGTTCTGGGCTAAACAGTCCTCCTACTTCATTTTTTCCCAGTATCTCTTTGCCTTCTGCTGCTTCTCCGATATGCTCTGGACTAAACATAATATGTATAAACAAAGGATATAACTAGAACCAAATAATTGATGTAAAAGTATACAAATCTTAATTATGTCCCGATGTGGTGGCTCATGCCTGTAATCCCAACATTTGGGAGGCTGAGGCGGGTGGATCACCTGAGATCAGGAGTTTGAGACCAAACTGGCCAATGTGGTGAAACCCCATATCCACAAAAAATACATACAATATCCGAGTGTGGTGTTGTGCACCTGTAACCCTAGCTACTCAGGAGGCTGACAAAGGAGAATCACTTGAACCTTGGAGGCGGAGGTTGCAGTGAGCTGAGATTGCGCCGTTGCACTCCAGCCTGGGGCACAAGAGGGAAACTCCATCAAAAACAAAACAAAACAAAACAAAAAACCAAAAAACCAATAACAATTACAACAGAAAGAAATCTTTATTACATGTGAGTAAAAAATAAAATAATAAATGTGATACTTTTATAAAGTAGTGAAAACCTTATCATGGCAGACATTAAAATATAGTCTGGGTGGCCATAAGCAAGTATTTGGACCACATGAGGTTTAAGGTGCTCATTATTGCTAAAGTTCTGTGATCACACATGTCACTGAATCTTTCAACATCTTAATTTCTACATCTACAAAAGGAGATGATGGAATGAGACCGCTCTATAATATAAGACATTTCCAAGCCTGATATTTGGTAATTTTCCTTTATGATCTTAAACTCAAATTCACATTTAAAATCCATACTTTACATATTTTTCCAGTATTATGACTTTACATTATAATTCTTTGGAAAATATACATTATTATAATAATAGATATGGTTAAGACACTTTATATGCTCGTTGTATTTTTTTTTTTAAGTATCAGGGACAAAGCTGTCACCTTAAGTTACCTTCCCTGATGAGGTATATTCTAGTGGTGGGAATAGGAAAAAAAAGAACAAAATAGTTAAATAAATGTAATAATGTTAGATGTAATAATAGCTAAGCAGAAAAATTAAACCACATTACTAAAAATAGCATTATTAAAAGTCATAAAGTAGATAACTTAAGTTTTTAAAATATAGTTTGTAAATTATTCTACGTCTTTTTCTTTTAAAAAAAAATTCAGAAATTAATACAAGCTATATGTAAAGAACATAGTTTTGCATATTATAATACAGCAAACTTTCTCTATTTGTCTTTCTGGGCACTTGCACTGGATACGGAAGACCCCTCTATGGTCTAAATTATGCATCTGGTAAACTTTTTATTATCCATTCAAAACTATTTATGAACACTGTTTACTTTATCATGCATTTTCATGGAGGGAAACAGGGGAGTGACAGCGGGGCGTGGAGAGTTGGTAGGGGGATGGCATGGGGAGAAATGCCAGATATAGGTGAGGGGGAGGAAGGCAGCAAATCACACTGCCATGTGTGTACCTGTGCAACAATCTTGCATGTTCTTCACATGTACCCCAAAACCTAAAATGCAATAAAACATTAAAAAAAATTTAAAAAATAAAAATTAAGGGAAGAAAAAATATAATAAAAAAATAAATAAAAAATATCACTACTATCAAATCCCAGCACTGTAAAATTTGACTTGTTGCTCTTGAGCAGATCTAGGGAGTCCATGAGCCCCACACATTGGTGTTCCAGAATCTAGGGATCCATGAGCCCCACGTTGGGCACCAGAATGTAGGGAGCCAGCTCTATTTCACCCGTGGGTACCCCGAGTTTGGTGGCAACAAAGGAATGAGAGAAAGACAGATTAAGAGAAAAAGTGGGATCAGGGGACCATCACTTTATTACTCTGGTGGAAGCAGCGAAGGTCCCAATCTCTGATCATCCACATTATTTATTGATTACAATCACTTTGATCTATAGGGTAGGGGTGGAGTGATGGTGGAGTGAATCAGTGAGCGGAACTGGTGTGTCTTTCTAAGGATTGGTAACAGTAGCAGTTTGGGGGTTTCATAAAAGAACATGTGGTATCTTTAGCTTATTAACTATGTACAGCTGTTGGAACATGGACCTTACAAGGAGCCTACAAGTCTGGCTACATCATAGTGCTGTGAAGGGGTTTTACACCCTTGAGCACAATGTTTCTGGTAACAGAGCCAGATCACCCTGCACCGGAACATGAGGCATGGAGAGGCCTTCCACAGTTTGTTGTTCCTTGTTTATATGTTACTCATAACCAATTTATGTAGGCACTGCTGTAAGTCCTTTCTCCTTTGCTGTTTTTCCCAACAAGTAGAGAGGTGATTACGTATATTTTCTCAAGAATTCCAAATTTTCTATCTCACTCTTTCCTTTACAGTCATTCCGACAGGCAATGCTGTACCACTCCTGGGCACTGGGAGGAGATTTCTGGGCACCTGTGTTTCGCCATTAGATCCTTTTTTGCTCCCTGTAGTTATTACTCTACAAAAGCAGAGCAAGGACTCTGACCTGGTAAACATGTACATTCCCACTATAATATGCTTTTCTTAAACAAATTGATAGTCTTTATTTTTTTAAAGCAGGTTTAGGCTTAGAAAATAATTGGGAAGAAAGTCTAGAATTCTCACATGACTCCTCAGCATCCCTCCTCCCAGACACAGTTATGTCTATTGTTAATATCTTGCAATAGGGTGTTGGTACATTTGTTCCCATGAACCAATCTTGATACCAAGTTACCAAGCCAATATCGATACAAATTAAAGTGAATAGTTTAATATCGGAATTTACTCTTTAGGTCGTAGATTTTTAAAATTATACTTTAAGTTCTGGGGTACATGTGCAGAACATGCAGGTTTGTTTTTAAAAGTGCAGGATTTTTAAAAGTGAGAAGGTATACACGTGGGCTTTGACAAATGTATAATAATATGTATCCACCATTGCAGGGTCATATAGAATAGTCTTACTGCTCTAAAAATCTCTCGTTCTCCAC